ACAGATGTTGGAGCTGGTGTGGAGATGTTGGAGCTGGTGTGGAGATGTTGGATGTTGGAGTTGGTGTGGAGATGTTGGAGTTGGTGTGGAGATGTTGGAGTTGGTGTGGAGATGTTGGAGTTGGTGTGGAGATGTTGGAGTTGGTGTGGAGATGTTGGAGTTGGTGTGGAGATGTTGGTTGTGGAGATGTTGGATGTTGGAGTGGAGATGTTGGAGTTGGTGTGGAGATGTTGGAGCTGGTGTGGAGATGTTGGAGTTGTGTGAGATGTTGGAGTTGGTGTGGAGATGTTGGAGTTGGTGTGGAGATGTTGGAGTTGGTGTGGAGATGTTGGAGTTGGTGTGGAGATGTTGGAGCTGGTGTGGAGATGTTGGAGTTGGATGTTGGAGATTGGATGGAGTTGGTGTGGAGATGTTGGAGCTGGTGTGGAGATGTTGGAGTTGTGTGGAGTGTTGGATGTTGGAGTGTGGAGATGTGTGGAGATGGTGTGGAGATGTTGGATGTTGGAGATGGTGTGAGATGTTGAGATGTTACAGGAGGAGCTCCGCTGTGTTTTTAAACTCCACACACCTTCATGTTTCTCAGGAGGAACAGGATTAAAGCTCAGAGTTTGTGTGATTCAGGAGTTTTCCTCACGTGTGTCTGTTTAGTCCCGGTTTAGGACCTGTTTTCCGGTTTAGTCCGGTTAGTGTTTAGAGTCCTGGTTTAGTTTTCCCTGGACCTGGTTTAGTCCGGTTTAGTCCTGGTTTAGACCTGGTTTAGTCCTGGTTTAGTCCTGGTTTAGACCTGGTTTAGTCTGGTTTAGTCCCGGTTTTTGGTTTAGACCTGGTTTAGTCCTGGTTTAGTCCTGGTTTAGTCCTGGTTTAGACCTGGTTTAGTCCTGGTTTAGTCCTGGTTTAGTCCCCGGTTTAGTCCCGGTTTAGTCCCGGTTTAGTCCTGGTTTAGTCCTGGTTTAGTCCTGGTTTAGACCTGGTTTAGTCCCTGTTTAGTCCTGGTTTAGTCCCGGTTTAGTCCTGGTTTAGACCTGGTTTGACCTGGTTTAGTCCCGGTTTTAGTCCTGGTTTAGTCCCGGTTTAGTCCCGGTTTAGTCCCGGTTTAGACCTGGTTTAGACCTGGTTTAGTCCTGGTTAGTCCTGGTTTAGTCCTGGTTTAGTCCTGGTTTAGTCCTGGTTAGTTTAGTCCTGGTTTAGTCCTGGTTAGTCCGGTCCTGGTTTAGACCTGGTTTAGTCCTGGTTTAGTCCTGGTTCAGTCCTGGTTTAGTCCTGGTTAGTCCTGGTTTAGTCCTGGTTTAGTCCTGGTTTTAGTCCTGGTTTAGTCCTGGTTTAGTCCTGGTTTAGACCTGGTTTAGTCCTGGTTCAGTCCTGGTTCAGTCCTGGTTTAGTCCTGGTCCGGCCCCTCTTGGCTCTGGTCCAGTCCTGGCTCGGTCCCTGTGGTTCGTTCAGTGTCGTTTGTGATTTACAGCTCTGTTTATTGAACACTGATGTCGTCAATAAATTACACCAGATTTAATTAAACTGAACCAGGACTAAACCAGAACTAAACCAGAACTAAACCAGGACTAAACCAGGACTAAACCAGAACTAAACCAGAGGACTAAACCAGAACTAAACCAGGACTAAACCAGGACTAAACCAGGAAAACCAGGACTAAACCAACTAAACCAGGACTAACCAACTAAACCAGGACTAAACCAGGACTAAACCAGGACTAAACCAGGACTAAAACCAGGACTAAACCAGGAAACCAGGACTAAACCAGGACTAAAACCAGGACTAAACCAGGACTAAAACCAGGACTAAACCAGGACTAAACCAGGACTAAACCAGGACTAAACCTAAAAGGAAACCAGAGAAACCAGGACTAAACCAGGACTAAACCAGGTCTAAACCAGGACTAAACCAGGTCTAAACCAGGACTAAAACCGGACGTGCACCTGTGGAAGTTTCTCTGTTTGGTCCTCACACTCTGTGGCAGAGTGGTTAGTCTCTGTCCCTCTCACCAGGAGGTTGTGAGCCCTGGTTTAGACCTGATTTAGACCTGGTTTAGTCCTGTTTTAGTCCTGGTTTAGTCCTGTTTTAGTCCTGGTTCAGTCCTTTAGTCCTGGTTTAGTCCTGGTTTAGTCCTGGTTTAGTACCTGGTCAGTCCAGTCCAGTCCTGGGTTTAGTCCTGGTTTTAGTGGTTTAGTCCTGGTTTAGTTCAGTCCTGGTTTAGTCCTGGTTTAGTCCTGGTTTAGTCCTGGTTCAGTCCTGGTTTAGTCCTGGTTTAGTCCTGGTTTAGTCCTGTTTCAGTCCTGGTTTAGTCCTGGTTTAGTCCTGGTTTAGTCCTGGTTTAGTCCTGGTTTAGTCCTGGTTTAGTCCTGGTTTAGTCCTGGTTTAGTCCTGGTTTAGTCCTGGTTTAGTCCTGGTTTCAGTCCTGGTTAGTCCTGGTTTAGTCCTGGTTTCAGTCCTGGTTTAGTCCTGGTTTAGTCCTGGTTTAGTCCTGGTTTAGTCCTGGTTTAGTCCTGGTTTAGTCCTGGTTCAGTCCAGTCCTGGTTTAGTCCTGGTTTAGTCCTGGTTTAGTCCTGGTTTCAGTCCTGGTTAGTCCTGGTTTAGTCCTGGTTTAGTCCTGGGTTTAGTCCTGGTCCTGGTTAGTCCTGGTTTAGTCCTGGTTTAGTCCTGGTTTAGTCCTGGGTGGTTAGTCCTGGTTTAGTCCTGGTTTAGTCCTGGTTTAGTCCTGGTTTAGTCCTGGTTTAGTCCTGGTTTAGTCCTGGTTTAGTCCTGGTTTAGTCCTGGTTTAGTCCTGGTTTAGTCCTGGTTTAGTCCTGGTCTTGTCTCTTGTTCTCTGCAGCAGCTCATTCAGATTCCACTCAGGTTCAGAGCCACGGGCCGTGAACCAGGACTGGACTGGAATCCTAACCGGTCTACAGAGTCCGCCCCTCCCCCCCCCCCCCCCCCCCCCGCCCTCCTCTTCCTCCTCTTCATCCAGAGTGGGGGGGGGGGGGGGGTGTCCTCGTCAGAACGGCCCAGCACAGAGCTCCTCCGCTGGGGTTACAGAGTCCACCCCCCCCAGCCCCTGGAGCTCCACAGCAGGATGGAAATCGAGTCCTGGTTTAGACCCGGTTTCAGTCCCGGTTCAGTCCCGGTTTAGTCCTGATTTAGTCCTGGTTTAGTCCTGCTTCAGTCTCATTTGGTCCTTCTTTAGTCCTGGTTTAGGATTTACAGCCACTCTCCCCGATTAAGACTCGGCACTAAAGGTTTATGGAGCTTTGATCTATGAGCCTGGTTTAGTCCTGGTTTAGTCCTGGTTTAGACCTGGTTTAGTTTAGTCCTGGTTTAGTCCTGGTAGACCTGGTTTTAGTCCTGGT